GTTTTCCCCTCAAATGGCTGTGGCCCCGCCCCCAGCGTGCGACGTCACATCCAGGGGATGTAGGTGCGGCGCATGCGCGCGCGCACCAGGAGATAGCCTGGGGTCCCCTGCCGAGGAGGTAAGAGACATTTGGCAACCCTAATCCCAACAGGCCCATACTTTAACAGCTATTATGGTAAACTTCATTACCTTGTTTTGGGACTTTGACTTGTCAAAGTATTAAGTTTTGTTTGTTTGTTTTTGAGGATCAGCACCGTGAAATATCCTATCCAGAGAGGGAAATAGCAGGCTGTTCCACATAATTTCAAAAACCATAAAATTGCTGTGACCTTTCTATTCTGGCCTTGGAAGATAATCTGGGCGTCTAGTCAAACATCAAGCTAACATTATTTTAACCCTATTTTTTCATATACTCAGATAAGAAGTAACTTATTTTTTTCATGAAATACACTGGTATCTGGTTCAGCATGGTTTATTCTGAGTTGCTAATATTCTGAAGCAGTTCTGAGATTCCTTTTCATATCTTAGCCAAAATCGTTTGTGTAGCTTTAAGAAGCTCTAAGAATATTGGTCAGTTGTCCTTAGAATCAAACAGATATGGCAGTTGCCATTTTTTGCACAACATATATAAATTATATGTCATGATTTGCACTGCAAACAGATAAGGTTGTGATTACTTCAGAGAAAACAAATGACTCATATATATGCAGAGTCACTAACTCTGGGCTGCAAAATGCCTGGAGATTTGGGGGTACAGCCTGGGAATGGCTGGGTTTGGGGAGAGGAAGGATTTTATACCACATAATACAATAGAATGGGTTATAATGCAGGGGCGCTCCCCCCAACCTTTTTGAGCCCGCAGACACCTTTGGAATTCTGACACAGGGTGGTGGGCACAACCACAAAATGGCTGCCACAGAACATGAAGCCGATCACTAAATGGTTGCCACAGGAGGCAGACCCAACCACAAAATGTCAGGGAGTGACGTTTTATGTATAACTCTAATAGTACCTCTTCAACATTTCAAGCAGAAGCTCTGTTTAGTAGGATGCCTTTTAATCTGTACAGCCATTCAGAAGCCATGATGGGCAGAAGCCTCATCTAGCCTCAGCTACTTTATGATGCATTTGCCGAGCACCAGGAAAGGTGTCCACGGGAACTGTGGTACCCATGGGCTCCACATTGAGGACCCCTAGTATAATGCCATGGAATCCACCCTCCAAATGCCATTTTCTTCAAGTGAACTGATCTCTGTTATCTAGAGATCATTTGAAATTCTGGGGTGATCTCTGGGCCCCAACTGGAGGCTGGCAACCCCATATGCCTGTGATTGATCAAGTATGCATAGCTTATTGTTGAGGATGACTAGGGTGCCAATTGTTCCTGTAACAGGTTTTAAAGACACCACACCCCTTTAAAATATCTGTGGATGGCTACTCCCATTTCCACTGTATCTTCAGACACTGGAGAGCACTTGCACCCACATGATGCTTGAAGAAAGAGATTTTTGTATCTTGCACATCAAACAAAAATCTCTCATTTGAGCAAAATTACTTTACCTTTTCATCAATGCTTAATTTCTGAAAAGATGTACTGGCGACTGAACCCAGACTGGTAGCTGTACTGAGAACCCTGAAAACCTGCTGCTTAGGTATACAGGGGCAGGATATGGTTTCTCAGCTATATAGAAAAGGCACTCTGTACTCATAGTCATTTTTTTGGTATTATGACTTCATGTATCCAAAGATTTATCCCCAGAACTGAAAACATAATATATAACTGAGAACTAGTGAGTCCTGACACAAATCACACTGGGTAACCTGCTTGGCGTGCAACCTTCTTAAAGACCTATGAAGTAAATACAGATCTCCTATAAACATTGCCACCTGCTTGTAAGAGCAGTATGGAATACCTTATCACACACAGAGAATGATTCCTCTTGTGTTTTTAAAGTTAGGGTGTGCCTCTTTTCTCTCGCTTTTCTTTAATCCAAGTGGTTTAATTGCTGTGGTGGTTATTAAGATTATGTAACTAGTGCTTTTCAAATTCTTAAATTATTCCTTTGTCAGAAGAATGTATGGGTTTAATTTTCTATCCTTCCTGTGCTATTTAAGGAGAAAGAACGGTTAAAGCAAGAAAAACGAGATGAAAAGAGATTAAATAAAGAGCGTAAACTGGAACAGCGAAGATTGGAATTAGAAATAGCTAAGGAGCTAAAGAAGCCTAATGAAGATATGTGCTTAGCAGACCAGAAGGTAATCAGAATAATGTAAATTTGCTCTTTTATGTCCCTGCCACTTTTCACACTGTTTCCCCTTTTCTTCGTCTACCATTGTTATAATAATTAATTTTTCTTACTATAGTTGCCTTAAAATCATTCCCGTTCTATTTTAGATTGCTTGATGTTACTTCGGTGTTTAAATGCTGCCTCTGTTCAAATGATCACTATAAAGTAATAATGGATAAATGAGAGAATGGGTTTCCTTGTTTTGTTTTTAAAGTTGGTAGTGAACGTTTGATAGTTTTGACTTCAAGTGGCCTATTTCTCAGACTTTTGCGAGACCAGACTTTCTTTAGAAGTCTCTAGTAATCTACATTTCACCCCTTTAAAGTATGGGGGTAGCAGCTTCTCTTAAAACTTTTCTGAACTATATCCAAATGTTGCATTGAGTTTGGTGAGCGGTTCTCATTGATGGGTGATGACTGTTCCTCTGCTTTTCAGCCTTTGCCAGAGTTGCCTCGCATTCCAGGCCTGGTTCTCTCTGGAAGTACATTTTCAGATTGCCTCATGGTGGTGCAGTTTTTGCGGAACTTTGGGAAAGTTCTCGGCTTTGATGTCAACCTGGACGTCCCAAGTTTAAGTGTTCTTCAGGAGGGGCTGTTAAATATAGGTGACAGCATGGGAGAAGTACAAGATCTGCTTGTGAGGTTGCTCTCCGCTGCCATTTGTGACCCAGGGCTGGTAACAGGATACAAGGTAACGAATACTCTTCAGGTGTCCTCAGCTTTAGCCAAATGATCAATTAATACTCTGCTAACCATGACTGCATTTTCAGAAGTAATGTCAACAATGGGCTTTGTCATTACAGGAATGAGTTTTGAAAGTCCTTAGGCTCACATGCTCCCCCTCCCTCCTTCTAATTTGAAATGACTAAATGTGGTTGGCCTAAACTGTGGAAGTCTTCTGTTTCAGAGTGGCATGCAAGGGGAGAAGGGAAAGGGAGCAAACAAGCTGAAGGCGCCTGAGCATAATGACAAACCAAGGTTTGTTGTAACGTCTTAGTTCTCATAGACAGGAGAGGGTAAGCCTGTTTCTGTGCTGTACCGTTTGAGATTGCATGTGGGCTTTCACATGACTTGATCTATTAAAAAAAATCCCTGCAGATAAGGAACTCAGACTAGAAATCTTCTCCCTGGAACCTACTTTTCTATTTGGAAAGGATTTTGTGAGAAATGGTTCAAAGTATTCTTAAAGAATAAAACTATTGCTTGCTTTATGTTGCACTATTATTGTGCTATAGCAATCATTTGCAACTGTATTAGCTTTGTCCACACAGGAAAATTCAGTTATGTGTGGATGCAGTCATTATTATTGTTTCTGAATAGGGTTGCCAGGTCGACTTACCTGGTCGGGGGGGGGTCTCCTAACATCCTTCTGAGAGACCAGAAGTGATGTTGGGCACTTTCAGGCCTACTTCTGGTTTCGGGCCTACTTCTGGTCCAGGGTAACACTCTGGTTTTGGGGTAAATTCAGCTTCAGACCAAAACCACAGCATCACTCCCAACTGGAAGGAGGCCTGAAACCAGAAGTAGGTCCAAAATCAGAAGTAGACCTGAAACTGGAATGGGGTTCTGTGGTAAAGAGGAAAATTTGATCAGATTGAGGGGAAAAGCCACTGTCACTACTTCTATGGAATAAGATATTTTCACAGATCACCATTCAATTTTCTCCCCCATTTACTCTGATACTATGTTGATACTTTATGAAGAATCCAGGTAGAACAGTCGAGCAAACATTAGCCTGTAGGCCGCAATGGTTAGGTTTCTTTAATTTGTGCAAGTTTGGACCTCAGACAGGCCAGATCACAGATGATAGTTTTATTAGCCAACCTGGTGTTTACAGTAAAGACTTTCATTTATTTATTTTATTTGTATATATTATTTATTTATATATTTATTTATTTTTCACATTTGTATTCCACCCTTCCCAGTGGGCTCAGGGCAGCTAACAAGGGCAGGGTATTAACCGTGCCATAATTAAAACATGAAACATATTAAAACATCGACACTAAAACAATGGTGCTGAATCAGTTACTAATCTCATATGTCCAAGATTTCTGGATTTCAACAGGGATTAATAGTATCTAGCTTATCAAGTTTCCTAAAACCATCAGACTTGTTGCCCAACATTACTATGTGATGACTTTTGCCTTTTCTCTTTGTACTTGTTTTGTGATCCTGCTCCAGATTTTTTTTGTTTCTCAACACCTTCCCCCCTCCTTATCCCCCACTAGTTCTCTGTAACAGCTGACCTATTTTTAAATTAACTTATTTTTAATTTTTTTAAAAACACAATTTTGAGTTTGGCAGGGAAGTTGCTTAGAAGGAAACTGCTCCTGGCAGATCCCCTCCCCCAACCCCTCTCCTTTTGGCAGTTCTTGTGCTAAACCTCCAGACTATTTGTAAAGGTCAAATCAAGGAAATTTAAAACCCAGAGAGGATGCAAACTATTAAGGAAGTTCCAGCGTGTCAGCAAATGGTGATGCCTCTGTTTTATGGCTTAAGCCCCCCCCCCGCGCCCTTTGCTATGAAATAGAAACACATGTTCCACTTATGCTGTCAGTATTACGCTATTTTATGTACCGCTGTTTACGAGAAAACTTTTCCATAGGCTAAAACAATCCTTGGGGATCATTTGCTGAATGTTGGCATCAACAGAGACAACGTGTCTGAAATTCTGCAGATTTTTATGGAAGGCCACTGTGGGCAAACTGAGCTCACAGAAAGCTTGAAAACCAAAGCTTTCCAGGCACAACCACCAGCTCAGAAAGCATCCGTACTTGCTTTCCTCGTTAACGAGTTAGCATGTAGCAAAAGTGTTATAAGGTAAGGCATGTTATAGCTTTTTTGACTGTTGGGGAGCATCACATGGACATTTTGTTTCTGATCGTTTCAGAGAGGGGATATATGTTGGTCTGCAGTAGAACAGCTAGATTCAAATCCAGTAGCAACTTGGAGACCAACAGGATTTTGGAGGCATGAGCTTCCAAGAGTCAAAGCTCCCTTTCTCAGACTTTGACTACTGAAAGCTTATACTGCCCAAATCTTGTTGGTCTCCAAGTTGCTACTGGACTAGGTTCTAGTTCTTT